ATCACAATCCACCAAAACTTATTAAAAAAATAAAAATTTTGGCCCCCCTCAATTTTTTTTGCTTCATATTAAGCATGTATTTTTTGAAATAAAATTTAGACATATTTAATTGTGCCCACCCTAATATTGTGTTCTAGTTATATTGATTTGAATAGATCTTTACCTAAATGATTGTTAATTTTTTGAACAATATTATTGAAACCTAATTTAAGGACCTAATACATTGCGATATTAAGTATAATAGTGAGTTTTAATATTTAATAAACTCTACTATCTATCCAATGGTCACAAACCGTTGGGTTTTTATTAATTAAATCTCAAATTAGGTACAACTAATATAATTGTTATTTTTTAGACATGTTTTAGACATCTCCGAATATGTTTTGAATATATTGATATTATTTAATAATTTTTTAAATTGTAGGGTTATTTTGTTATTGTATAAAAATGTGTGTCGTTATGTAGTAAACTATAGGATTCTAAATGGAAGATTATTACTGTGATTTTATAAATAAAAGAAATATTGTTGATAAAATTAATTTGTAACTTTTTCAAATAATAAAAGTATATCAAGATCAATTATAAGTAATAATAATTAGTTTCATTCTCAATAAGAAGTTTTAATTATTATTTTTTTGTTCATGTTATGTATACCGATTTTTAATTTTTTTTGTTTAAAAATTTTTAAATATAATTTTAATAAATATAAATTTATGAACTTTTACGGTTTATTAAAAAAAAAATTAAAACATACTAATGTGCTCACCGTAAAATTTTTTTCTGACTCCACCCCTGAGGCTACACATACAGGAAAAAACTGTTTTAAATGAGGCCAAGGAGTAAGATGTGGAGGGATACAAATCCAATAAAGATGATGAAGATGATTACCTTGGTTATGGAGATGATTTTTAGGTCCTTATGATGGGTGGAAGAGTGAACTGAATGTTTAGTTGTTTTGAGAGTTTGACCCATGTCTTCAAATGTTAAGAACTTAAGATATTATTGGTGGTTGATGAAATTTGGATGTTTGTGCTTTTGAGTGCTTGTCATCTATAATGTTTGCCTTGCTTCAATGAAGCACTTGCCATGCATCTTGTCGCCTAGGTCTCAAAAGACCTTTGGCGCCTTAGTTCACCTTACGCCTTAAATAACACTAATCTTAACATCGGCACACAGTTGAACGACTACTTTGTGATTATATTTTTTAAAATTTTTAGAGAAATTTATCTTGCTAGTTTTACAACTGAGACAAAACTAGATGATTGGATTGTTTTAGGATAGAATGAGATAATGGTACCGGTCAGTGATGCACTAAAGTGGGAATGATGCATTGTCACACACAGTTGAGTTTGCAAGGACTCTTTGTTATGTTTGTGCCATTAACTTTGAAATCAGGCCAAGGGTGTAAACGGAGTGTATATCCTACATCAGAAGTTTGGAACGACCTCGTTTTGGTTAAATGGTTGAGGGCCTCTCTGGAGCTTGTATTTCACATTAACAGATTAGCGTCACCAAAGTTAGCTTATACGATTGAGGAGATTATGCACTCATTGCCAAGATGCTTTTTAGGTTTAGATAATCCCCTTCACACATGCACTCTCCCTCTCCCAGCTCACTCTCTCTATATTATATATCTATACTAGTTATAACTTGTTCTTGAAGGTACGATAGAATATAAAATTCAAAAACCTGAAAATTGATCTTACTATATTAAATAATAATTTTTTTCCTTAATTTATTTGATTACATCATTCAAAATTTATTTTTACCCATTATTTTCTTAAAAATATTGACAATTTTCTCAAATCCGTAATTCGATAAAATCTTCTCAACATATGTATATTATCGTGTATGGTAATGTCTGAAATAAAAATTATGTTAAACTACAAATTAGTCAAATATTAAATGATTGAACATGTGATAGAAATGGGTGATGTGATGGTTTTGGGTGGGATGCATATGAGATAAAATTCAACTTCCTATGTGTTTTATTATACAGATATGTTGAACCCCAATAACATACCAACAACTAAAATGGCTCATGATGGCTTGGATTCAAATGTTTGGCAATTGCTTTGTGTTCATTTCATTTAGCATGTCTACTGATAATTTAGTGGCTCTTTCCTTCTGACGTGGACTTAAGATATGCTTCAAGATAAGTCTTTTCCACTTCACTCCAGTGCTTGATTGCTAAGTAAAGTTTTATCTCAGGTTCGGGCTTAGGCCTGGGGATCCCTGGTTTACAGATCGGTTTTGGATTTGGTGCTGGATGTGGTGTTGGTTTAGGATTCGGCTATGGTGTTGGGAGGGGTTTTGCTTATGATGGGAATCGGAGATACTCTAATGTTGGGAAAGTTTTTAACGGGCCAGGAAATCTTCCTACTCAGTAAGTTTGTCTATCAAGATGCTAACTGTTAAATTGCATGCAACTCATTTCATGGAATATTTTGAACTATCGGTGACAGGTTACTGCAAGGTTGTCAGTGACAGGTCTGTGGAGAGATGGACAAATGGTATTCAAGACCAAATTATTAAATGATCTTAGGAATTTTCAGTTTATAGTATACGTAAAAACATAAACGGCAAAACATTCACACAAACAACATGAGAACTCCTTGTCAACCACCCTCAACACTACTGGGGAAAAAAAAAAAAAAAAGGAAGAGAAACGAGAAGGAAGAAGGGTGGGGTCCATAGAACATACGCTCACATAGTCAAAATCTTGTTCATTAGAACCACTCCCTTTCCAAGTTATCGTGATTAGTTTTCACTATCCATGTTGCACTTTATTCACAAGATTATCAATGGTAATATAAGGGGTATTCCAGAATGAATAGTAAAGTCATGATTAAAGAGGAAAATGTGATAGCAGTAACGGTTATTAACTGTATATATTGCTGTTTCTCTTGTTTTTATATGTTCACTATGCAATCCTTGAGAATATCACTTTTTTGACCTCTTTCTATGTTTAGATGGTAGGCACTATTGCCATTTCTTTAATCCAAGGCCACCATATGTCACCCACTGCCTCTGTCTAATCGGCCACCTGAATTGCATTCCATCATTTTAGTACAACCATGATTTAAAAAAAGAAAATCACACCCAAAAAGTCCATCAATCTTTTTTGGATGTGAGTTTGAAAACGAACATTTTTAATAGGAATTTAACCACAAACTTCGAGATATAAAAATAAATTGTTACTGTGTTCATGCACATCATCTCTGTCCATACACCATTGACAATTATGTACAACCTTTAAAGGTAAAAAAAAAAAAAAAGAGAGAAATAAGAGAAAAAACATATTGAAGTAAACAAAATTAAATAAAATGTAAAACTAAAAGAGATCTACCTTATAACTCTATTGAAAATACAAAAAAAGCACCTCCCCTAAAACTCTTAGTAGATAGGGTCTATAAAGAACTGAGGGACACAGTTATATCTCCAAAACAAAGTTTAAAGGAACAGAATGATCATGAACAGTTTTTAAACCATATGCACCAAAGAATCACCATTGCTGCACAATTACAAAGAACTTTAGTTTATTCAGTTTGCCCAATACCTCAGAACTTAATCTGCAGTAACTTATGCATTGTAGAAGGAGAAGCGCAAGCCTTGCCAGCCGGGGTTATACAGTTGTTACTAAAAATGGGGACAAGTTCAATAAATCTTTAATTAGGGAAAGAAATGAAAGTAGTTTACATGTTTAACCTCACAAAATGGGATGCAATTGTGTTCTGTCAATGACAAGGAGTGTCTCAGAGGTGCTGGGTTCAACACCAGCTAGGGCATTTTGAAATAACACTCAACTGAAGAGATCAGATCCGATATTGTTGTAATCCTGCAGTTCCAGTGGGATTCAGACAGGATTAGGGCTTCCTCTCTCTCTCTCTCTCTCTCCCCATTGCCTCTTCTTCATCACTTCTCAAAAGTATTAGTGTCCTTTCTACAAATGTTTGTATAAGACGTGTGATGTGGTGGTTTTGTCATACCAGATACTGTCAAATTACAGCAAGACAGGGCTGTGACAAGGCTGTGCGAATTATAACTTGTGCCAACATATGACCCAGATTAGTTCTGTTGCATCCCACAAACAACCCCATTGCCTTCGCATGGGACATTGACAATCTTTAGCATTTAGAGCCTAATCTTTTGAATTCCAGCTTGGCATGTTTTTAGACTCTCAATGAGAGAGCAAGTTGCCAGTTTCAAATATGGCACTAGAATCCCAAAAAAATTTCAACTATTCCCTAGAAAGGGTAGGTTGATATGCTATTCTACTTGAAAACACGATACTTGAGAAGGGAAAAGAAGTTAAAAGGAGAAACATCCATTCAAATTATTTCCTTATCCTCTCCATTACAGGAAGGGAAAAAAAAAATGCTGTCATGGTTTAGGCACTAAGCTTGTACTCTCTTTTATTTGTTTATGTAGTTTGAATTTTGAACTGGCTTATTGGTTTCAGGGACGAGATTGGTGCGCTCATCGATGAGCTTGTTCTGAACACCAAGAAGCTAATCAAAGCAACTTCTAGAGAGGTCGACAAGTGGAGAAGATAGAGTTTACTGAATTTGTGGTGTACATTGAGTTCATTATATTTTCTTTCCCTGTTCATGTGCAGATTTGCTTGCATTCATGAGATGGCCACATTCTTTGTCTGTACATTTGTTATCTGACACGCGTATGCTTACGTTCAAGTGCTATGATCTGTTTATGTCATCTGAATTAGTACATCTATGAGAAAAGCTGTGGTCTCTGTTTTTACATGGAAACTCTTCATAAGGATTGTAGATATGCAAGCATTCCCAGAAATTTCATCTGATTTATGTCTTGTAGTTACATTGGTGATCTTGGAATCGGAGTAATTATAAATCTAAAACCAGGGTTTCCCAATTTTCTGCCGTATGGGATGTGGACAACTGGAGATTCAGAAAAGCATAAAAAGAGCAATGTCTCAGGTAGGCCCCCTCTCTTGTTCATGAACTGCGGGGATTAACGTTCAGTCTTGCCAAGAGCTATGATTGGCCTATTTTGGAATTGTGGAGTGCTTGGGATCCCACGGTTTGGCTGATCTCTTCAAATAACTATTTTGGTTTCCGTATGAAAGCTATTATTGATGAAGGTAATGTGATCCACATAGAATGGTTGGTTTTATGGTCATCAAGTAATGAGCTAGAGTCATCGATCTTGGTCTATATTGAACAATCAAACACAGCATTCATTCCTAGCATGGATCTGTTGCGTGATTTTGAAGAAATTGTCTCAAAATGTGTGGAAGGTGTAAAATATTTTGCAGAAAGGTGATTAATGAATGCCCATTTGTGGACCTCAGATTTTAAGGAAAACACTTTTACCTTGTGTGTGGGAGAAAGGTTGGACAGGATTGGGGTTTAACCATAATGATTGTCTTGTTTCCCTCGGAGGAAGGTCACTCAGCTCCTTGTCATAGGACCTGATCATTGGGATTGAAACAGTATTGTAAATAATTTGGATAAGAGTAAGAATGAACAGAGGAAGATGTTTCCTTTTGAACCAATTTGATATAGAAACCCCTTTTGTGTTGGAATTTCAAAGTTGTTGGCAGGTTAATTCGACTGAGTCATTGATGGACGAATTTGTTGACAACGTGGAAAACGTAACCATTTGGCCATGTCCATAAACAACTCTAATAGGGAGAAGCTAGCAAGATTTCAATAAATATCGAGTTAAACGGAGCTTCATAACCGCACCCACAGGGTTCTAGCCGAACAAGTGCTGTGGCAATAGAAGACAAAAAAACAATTTTTAAAAGGACAATATAGAACACTAGCTTCTAACAGACACAAGCGACTGTAAAGTTAAATCGTCGGAGGAATGAACAGAGATAGTAGATCTGTGAAGCCCAAAGCATGCATGGTAGTTGAAATTTAAAAGTTACGGGATTTAGATGTAATTTATTATTAAAAATTTCTGAGGTGAAAAATAAGATACGTAATATCAAAGGGAGGAATATGTAAATAATAAAAATTGCCTTGTCAAGCCTCTTGTCACCTTTTTAAGCCATTCTATCACCAACATATTATTTTGTAATCCGTCTAGGTGTGCACGGTGTCCAAGTCAAGTGTCTAGGTGTATAAGCCGTCAAATAGTTGGGTGTACAAGCTATGCTAAACTATAAATATTTAATTCATATTTTTTTAAATAGTTTAAATTTTTAGAGTTAAATAATTATTTAATATGATATCAGAGTAAGAGATTATGTGTTCAAATCTTACTGTCACTTGAATTATTAAAAAAAATTCAAACACAAGGTCCAATTTAAACTTTTGAAATAAATAATTGTATGTGTTGATCCGTGTGGAAGGCCGGCGGGAAAAGTGGAGAAACTGAGTGCTAGGGTGAATAAAAAGAAAGGGAGGTAGGCTTACGTTTTGCAACTTGTAATTTGCATTTATTTATTTATTTTTTGGTAAATTCGGTAATGAAATACTGTAGCAAAAAAAAAGTGGCTTGACATGTTTTTTAGTTAAACATAATACGTAGCTTATTTGAATAAAATAATTCTAAAAGCATGGTTACTTGTTGATATTTACCTTGATTTGATCAAAATTGTATGTAATAAAGAAAGTTAGTTTTGATTAAGTATTTGGAAACTTGACTACTTAGTTGATTGGGAGTTTTTTTTTAAAGGATCAAAATAAGAGAGTTTATTTGGTGTAGCATGGGACCTTATGATCTTTTAAGTAATCAAACTATTGGTTGTTAAGCTTGAGATTAATGATGACAAAGTTAACGTCTGAAAAAAGGAATAAGCAGGCTAAACTTATCTGAATTTTAAAGTTATAACTTAGTTGGTAAGAAACTAAGCTAAACTTGTTGATTTTTGAACACAAAAAATTAAGCTGATAAGATGAAAGTTGAAATCTGAAATTTGGTATTAGAAGCTAAAACAACTTCCTTAGGTGTCGAAAACTTTTGTCAAGGTTTGGATAGGGTATTTGGTAGCTGAAATATTGGGAAATGGGGGCATAGATTTATGGGTTACAAACTGCAAAGGCGGAATTAATGTCCAAAATATTAAGTCAAAAGTGTTTTAACAGTTGAAGTAAAGGAAGAAAATTGAACCTAAGATTAAAATATGCATACAAGCTCTCGTGTATCTAAATTGTTATATCTCAAAATGATACTTACTAGAGTCATGGAATATGTTGTTTTAGGTGCTGAGAACACCGCGTCAACTTTTGTTGCTAGTAGTATACCCGGTGCGGAAAAGTGAGTTAGTGTGTGGGGGTGCTTAAGTAAGTATATACTTATATAGTTTGGAAACTAAATTACTTACATTTACGTGGCTTATGAGTGTGATTTTGGTAATTAGTGGATTCTTTAAATGCGTTTTTTTTTTAAATTCTGATTCCTTAAATGCTTCTTTGTAAATGGTGAATTGTTGTATCTATGGGTCATGATAATTTTTGAAAAGAGGTTTGTTTAAAGATGTTGAGGTTTTTATATTTACATTGGCCCTATTATATGGGAGTATTTGAAGGGGATTTACTTGTCTCACTGGATAAAACTAGGAGGCAAGTTGGAGAACCCCTACTATTGAGGATAATCGATAACCCTCTACTCGTTCAATATCAATGGATTGAACCGAAGTTTGAGGTTACCGTACGCCTTAACTTGGTCATGGGAAAAACAACCCTTGACCCTTGAATGAAATGTTTTGAAGTTCTAATTATATCTATACTATTTTAAAATGTTACTATACTTGAAAAGTATTTTTTTTCAATTGTACCCTCCAACAATGAAAGTATTACATTCTTATCTTTTATTAATGATAATCTAAAATAAAGTTTAATTGTTCAAATTGTTAAGCCCTATAAATTCTCCAATGAGTATTCAATAATGATAAATACATTAGTTACTAGATTAATTACCCTACTTACTTAACAACAATATGATTAGGTCATTTGAATCCCTCCACAATAATAATATAGCATCACTTCATCTCTCTCAATGTATTTTTAATGGGGTTTGATTCTTCACTTCTTTTCCAAAATTTCTTTTTCTTGCATCCATATATTAGAAATTCCACTTTTTTTTATAGCTATTTGAAGTACATGGCCGATATACTTTTTAATTATGTGTTTGTGAATTAATTTCAGTTGATTTTCCAAATAAAGATAATTTGGTTTGTTTATTGAAGTTTTATTCAAAGAGAATGGAAAGCGGCTTTGAGAACCAGATGATCTTAGATTCTGCCGTGGAAGAATCTCTGATGGAGAAAGGATCTGAGTATCTTGGGTATCTATCTCATCATAACTATGAAGTTTGATTATGAGTCATTTCCTTTTTCTTATTCCTTTTTGTTTTAACTTTAGAATTCAAGTTTCATATAATTGGATTTCTTTTAATTTGGTATATTATGATTTTTTAGGTGCTTACATTACTGAATGAGATGCAAGATTATAACACCTTGTTGTGATGAGATATTCACATGTCGGCATTGACATAATGAATGTAAGGTTAAGTTCTTCCTTTTTTTTTTTTTCAGAGTTAATAATTTTTTTTTATTCTATTTTCCTCTTTATACGATTACCATATTTAGTAATGCATTACATTTGATTTTGTTTGAATAAAACATCTAATTTTATTTAGCATTGAATAAAATTAATTATAGTTAACTAAACCTCAGTCGATGATACTACTAAAAACGCACCCCTTTATCTTCGCTCTCTCTCTCTATTTTTTATTATTGAAAATGCACCCTTTCATTTCTCTTTCTATTATCTACTTAACAGTCGGCTATCATCTCCTTAACAACACATATGAAAAATATGATAAGATTCTTAGTTGCTTTCAATACAATGATGTAGGTTTGACAATGAGTGACTCTATAAGAATCCTGAAATGGTCCATGTGTAATGTACATGTGCATCAACTAGTCTATACTACAAATAAAAGTACACTATTAAGAAAAACTTTTGATTGACTACTTTAACCCTAAAACAATATACAAAAACAATACTAACCTTATTTAATTTAGACCTCATATTAATAAGACTTGATTGATGTCAAACTTTTAAGTAGATAACCTTACTTTCACAATACTAACATTATTAATATGGAATTCATATTAATAAAACTTCATTAATATTACACATATTCAAGCCTTTCATATTTTTTTTTTTAAATAAAAATTAATTATTAAAATAATTAAATTTACTTTTATTTATGTCTATCTATTTTCATTAGTTGATGACAAGTCTCTAAATTTTTAAATGAAATTGCATAAATGCACTAGAGTCTTATTTAGTATAAGATTTATTTTAATATAATTTGGATAATATTATCAAACCCTAACTTTTCATTTTCTTCTTTTTTTATGTTTTAGTTTTAATAAATCTTCTTTAGTTATGTTTATTGGCAATACTGTAAACCATTTTATTTGTAATCGATTAGCAATACTACGAATATGTTCCATCTCAGATTAAATTACTTATCACAACTTAACTTTTTAAATTTGTTCAAACAATTGTTTATAATTAAATGACCAACATAAATTAAAATAGTTCACTTCTGTATTTTTTATGATTTAATAAGTGTCTACGAATTTTTTTAGTTATATATACTCACATACTATAAAATATATTTGTACCATTACTATGATGTTGCAAAAAAAATTAATCTAAATAATTAACTTCATGTGAAAAGTTCTAAAATTTAAGGGTAGAGGTTTACAAGAAAATAATTTATCAAAACTTAAGAGAAAATAAAACAATAAAAACTAATATTGGTTGTGGAAATATTTAGTGTTATGTCTATTACAAATTACACAAATTATATAATAGGAATATTCAAAAAATTATATTTACAAGCAGGTATTTGCTATTATATTTATTTAATTATTTTAAAAACAAAATCATAATTCAAAAAGTCCACGTGTGCAAGGCACGTGTGAACAACTTAGTTTTATAAATGGGAGATTTACTCTCGAGGGAAGTAGTTGTTAATCACAACATGATTTATATTTTTCATTATTAAATGTTTATTAAGGATGAAAACGAGGTTGTTTATTGTTCAAAACATAATCCTTATTTGTTTTACTGTTTCCTTATTATATAATGCTAGCATGCTCACTAAGTGAGTTGTAACGCTTACACACCTACATTAATTTTGGTGTTTCAGACGTTCGGAGTCTTGGTGTATCCACTATACAGTCTAGAATTATAAAGAAGGGTAATGCTATGGTGTATCAGTCTTATTATATAATATTAGACAACAGGCATCACAATGGGATAATCGATCCATCCCATCATTGGGAAGGA